CACACACACACACACACACACACACACACACACACACACACACATCTATACAAAGAAAAATGTGTGTATTTATATGTGGGGAGTGTGTGTGTGTGAGTGTGTGTGTGTGTGTGTATGTAACCATATATGAGTTTGTGCACACGAGCAGGTACCTGAAAAGGTCAGAGCTGTATGGTACCCTGGAGCTGGGTTTCAGGCAGCCCTAAGCCACCTAACTCTGATGCTGGGACTAGACCTTGGGCGCCTGCTCTAAGAGCAGCATCCCATTTAATTACTGAGCCACCACCCCAGCTCTGTCTGTAGCTGATCTTAATCTATGTGTTCTTACTTTGCTCAGCATGGATTGCCCTCCTTCTTTATGATTTCTAATGTTGGTTTTGATCCTGCCATGCCACTACCTGTGTGCCTTCACTGCTTTCTAATCCTACAAGTTATAGTTTATCTTTCATTCCACGTGTTCTTTTTCATTTCCTGTACTGTGGGAAGGAGATACCATGGACAATAAATATAATCCAATTTCTTATGAAGTGTCGGGGAGGGGAATTGTGCAATGCTTGAGCAGATATGTGCATTTGTATGTGCAGGTCAGTGGACACTTAACATGTGCAGAAGCCAAAGGTCAATGCTGAATGGCTTTACCAATCCTTTGTTTGTAGATAGAGTTGCCCCCTAAAAGTAGAGAACCCCAAATGGTTAAAATGGCTGCCTGTTTGCCAGCACCGTGGTTATAGACACACATGACAGCACCTGCCTTTTATGTACAAGCCAGAGATCCAAACTTGGCCTTCATGCTTGTGGAGCAAGAACGTTACTAATCCTTTCATCTTTGCTCCCTCTCCCTCCCATCCCCTGCCCAGGCAATAAAAGACACACACTGTCTCTCATGTGAGTCACAAAGTCACATTAAGGGATCTAAGTTTGTGCCTTGATTATTCCCACATGAAGTAACACATATTTAGCTCAGTTAAATTTCCTAAAATGTGTGAGAAAGGATTCATGAACAATCTAAACATTTCCCTTTTGGGATCTTCAACTTCTGGGTGAAAGAGCTACAAGATGCAGTTCTCTGTCCTCATTTGAATAGAAGGTGTGCGGAGATTCAGACCATGGGCACTTCAGGAAGAGGACTTTATTTTCATATAGTTTCATTCAGTGTTGGTTGATCCACTACATAGCATGGCTCTGTGCAGCTTAACTTCTACTCCATAAGGCTGGTGGAGTACTTGAAGGCAGCTGTTTCTCTTGCTTTTGATCTGCTTGGTTAATTTTAAATATTGGTTTTTATTTATGTGTTTCAGTGTTTTTTCTATATGTATGTATGTATACCACATGTGTGCCTGCTACCCAAAGAATCAAAAAGATTGTGACTTATGTTGGGAGAATGTCTGGAGTTACAGACAGTTGTGAATTGCTAAGTGGGTACTGAGAACCAAACCTGGGTCTTCTGCAAGAGCAGACAGTGTCTTAACCACTTAGCCAACTTACCAGCTGTTTTGCTTGTATTTATTGTTTTGAATGGAAGTAGTTACCCACTTAGTTTGGGGACACTCATTCCATTTAAAAAGGGTTCCTTCATCGGGCGTGAATCAAGAATAAAATTTGGAGTAGGGAAGGATTTTCCTCAGCATGGATCTATTTATGCTATATCTGATAGAAATTCCTAACATATTGCTGTAATTCTCTTTGATAACAAACTATTATGATACCAAGGCCTTCTTTAGTCTTCCTAAAATAGAAGGCAAAAGACAGTAGAACTATAAATTGTTGCATCACCATTTCCTAGAAGAAAACACAGATCCTTGATTCTTGGATTCCCAGGGGAAATTAATAGTGTTTTAAGTTTCTGGAAACATCCCGAAGCTAACAATACTGCCAGTTCTGCTGGAAATGAGCCTTGAAGGAGGAAGCAAACAGGATGAGTCTGGGAGAAAGGGAGGTGTGGTATCTGAAGGGAGCTGATTCCCTGGGAATGAGACAGTAGGAACTTTAAGGCAGCCTACAAAGGAAAGACACCTGCATATGCAAAAGCCACAGACCCTGGACTGATAGGGAATCTGAACCCTGAAGGGAATACATGGGAGCTAAAAGCAAGATTTCTGTGTTTAATTTGGCACAGAAGAAATAAAGAAAGCACTTTCAAAAGGATCGTGTAAATCTCAAGGGAATAGCATGGAGACGTAAAATATCCTGGAGAGATTTTCATTTTTCCTAAGGACTTTTGGTCAGTCTGAACTTATCAGTTAATGGGTTTAATGAGGAAACATAAGCAGAATCTTCTAGAAATCAGCTTAAGAAAATGAGATATTTTAAAACTGTAATGATCTCTAGTTGGGCATTTATTCATGAACAACATAGTATCTGATTATAGAGAGAACGAGGGAGGAAATGAAGGGAGAAAAACAGAGACAGAGACAGAGAGACAGAGAGAAGGGGAAGAACTAGAGTCAGAAAAGAGAAGAGGGAAAATAGAAAGGGAAGAAAAGGCCCGAGAATGGACATATGCTTTGTTTCACGGTCTCATTTTCTCTTCACATTTGTGCATTATTGTATATCTCTCTGTCTCTGCCTCTGCCTCTCTTCTCTCTCTCTGTCTGTCTCTGTGTTTCTGTGTATCTCTCTTTGTCTCTGTCTGTCTCTGTCTTTCTCTCTCTTCCCTCCCCCCCCTCACCACACTTACACTCCTCTCCAGATACTAGAGGTGAATATCTTGTGTGGTGTTTTTTAATAACTGCCTTCTCTATGCACATACACAAGGTTTTATATACAAAACATTTCTTTTGAGTCAAGTGTGGTGGGGGACACCTGCAATACCAAAACTTAAATGAGGTAGGAGGATCAGGATTCCAAGGCTATCCTAAGCTACATGGCAAATTTGAGGCCAGCCTGGGTTACATGAGACCCAGTTTCACATATTATTCAACTATATAAAAAAAAAAATCTAAAGTCATTAACTTTGAAGGGAAAAAAAATGTACTGAGTAAAGTGGCCCAGGTCCCTCAAAATGAAAACTGTATGTTCTCTTTCATATGTGGATTCTAGATTCAAATCTTTTAAATCTGAAGTATATGTGGAATCCAAGACACTATAAACAAGCCATTAGCAGAAAAAGGATGAATTTAGGGTGAAGAAATTTTAGAGTATAGGTGAAATGAAAGTATGCCTGGGCAGGAGTGTTCTAGTGTGTAGAAGAGTGATAAGAATTAAGAAATAAGGGACCAGGGGAAGGAAGCTTTTCATGTTGTGAAATACCATCACTTGTGAGGAAGGGTCATAGGTTCTCTCAAAGCTAAGTAAGTTTGAACATTTATTGCATTTTATGAAATGAATGATTCATCTGTGGAAAATAGCTCATCAGAGTCCAGTGTGAGAGTTCTTTGTTAGTCACAAAACACTTGGAATCATGCTTGGTACCTGTGAAACTCAACAAATTCAATTATTATTATTATTATTATTATTATTATTATTACAATGGTAAAATACAACAGGTCCATCAAAATAAAAAAAAGATCTATTGTAAAGTATGTTAAAAATAAACACGTTGGAGGTTTAGGGTGCTTGAAACTGATTGATGTTGAGGGAAAGAGAATCACTGTTCTTTATGGGGTGCTCACTAGTAAGTTAGCCATGCCCCATGGATGATTCACAACCATGCACATAGAGGAAGCACTAATTGGACACAGTGATTTTTTTTTCTAAAATAATTTTAAAAAGAGGACATGAAATTGAGAGGGGGATGTAATGGGAATTCTAGAAAGTGCAGGAGTGGGAGACTGAGGAATGAATATGACACACAGGACTAATCTGATCACATTGAACACATGGGATCCCTCACCAAGATTACCATTTTCCATAAATAGAACAAACCATCTTGGCACCTGTGCTATGCTGGGAGATATGCTTAGCAGTGCCCTACTGACCCCATGAACCTTAAAGTGTGCTAACAATGCACCCTACACTACACATCAACTTCTATTTATTCAAAAAGAAAACATTTGCTTTCTCTATAGTCAAGTGTAGCTTATGATTATCTCTCGGGAAGTTTTATTCTACATGTGATAAGGCAGAGTGAAAAACTGTCTGAGGGAAGGGAGGTGAATGGTGAGTGGGCAGATAGGAGAGACCAGTAGGGGAGAGGTAGGGATGAGAAGAAAACATAAAGACATATGAATTTGAGAAAAAAAAAAGCAAGGAATGAGTACACTGGAAGAGCTGAAGGGAAGAAAGGAAGGGGGAAATGATGCAATTATATTTTTAATTTAAACTAAAAAAAAAAACACATTAAAATATGTGGGCACAGGGCTGGAGAGAAACTGTGAGCTGGCCCTTGAGTAATCGTTTAACTAATCACAGTTGCAAAGAACAGCAGCAACATTTAGGAAACATCCCCCTATCTGGTTCATAGAAGTTGCAAGAACAATTTTTGTAAAATACTTGGCTTCTTGCTCGCAGGGACACGCACTGAGGCCTGGACCTGCTGTGTAAAACATTATCTGTGCACAGACTCAGCCCAGCCTAACCCTCAGTACCTCTTCCATCAAGACAGCACAGCTGGAGTTTGCATGCTGCCTGATCTGTGTGCACTGAGATTCAGAGCATGTCTCCTGTGCACTAATTGCATGATGACAGTTTATGAAGCACTTTCTCATTGACAGAGAACGTGGGAGAAATGGAGTAGACCTCATGAAAAAAATGCATATATTTGAAAACAAATGTGTCTTTTCCTTCTGCCTGTGTGTGAGGCCAGTGAACAGTATTTCTTAGACATTCTAGCAAAGTGCTGAATGGGTTCTATGCATAGTTACCAAGCTTCCAGCATGAGGGATATCCATGGTTCCTTACATGTGATACACATTTTCTAAGATGACCTTTCTGGTAATAAATTCTTGCTAAATGACACCCTAGATTCTGAGATTAAGTAAGCAAAAAATAACTGCATGCTCTCTGAACACACAGACAGAAGTAACTATTGAATTTGGTCTAGTACGGAAGTTATGAGTCACCTGCACAGACGCTACCTTTTCCAAAGGGCTTTCTACTCGAGGAATGTTGATCATCGGCATCCGGGCCACATTGTCCCTATGCGTGTGCCCATTTTCTGGTTGTCTTCCTTTGAAATTATTTACCACGCATACAACCTAAAATTTCAGGAAACAATTGCAGTTAAGTAAGTCACATATCCTACAACAATCACCCCTTTAAGGAGTTTAATAATACTCCTAGAGTAATCAAGTTTTAAAATTATCTAAATGTTATATGAATAAAACTTTACACATAGACTTACCATGAATAAATTTGAATAGTTATTCCAATGCAGACAGGTTCAAGAAAATTTACCAATGAATATGTATCAGAATGAATAATAACAATTCTGTTATTCCAAAATGTTCATTAATGTATAGACACTATTTAATTCAATCCAAAATTAACACCATAACCTTATAAAAATTCACAGCAGACTAACCTCTCCCTAATGTGTCTAACCTACAACTTTATTTTTATGCTCATTATTTCTCACTGCTTCGAGATTATTGCATTCACACTAATCCTTGACAGTTGGCACTCTCTAATTTAATAATATCTCTTTAATTATAGTAGTTTATTGTCTATTGTGTCTCGTATATATGTAAGATTTGAACAATAGCTTACCAGAGCTACACTAAAATAGAAGACCCTTCGCATAAAGGAAATTGACCCTCATTTTAACTGATTATATCCTAGAGGAAGAATGTGAACTGAACCACGCATGAAAATTAAATTCCTGTAATGTTAAAAATATACATTCCCAATGCATCTCCCAAAGTTTCTGACTTAGTAGGTGACAAATAGGGTATAGAAGACAGAACTTTTAAATGCATTCCAGAAGTTTCTGACGCAGGTGAATCATATTTAAGAAACAATGACTTAAGCAACACAGAGAAATTATTTCCTATGGTGAGTTTATATTAACTACTGGGCAACATATTATTTTCTTTCCCTGGACTTTATATTCTAGAATAAATAGGACTTAACATGTAGTTTCAACCTAATACTCATTTTAAATTAAGTAAATGCTTAATCAATAATGATATGTCTAAATTGTATATTTTCATAAGTTCATCAATGGATGACTTTTGTTAAACTTATTAATTAATATTTATTTTGTTTCTAAATTTTTTAAAGATTTATTTATTTTATGTGTATAAGTGTTTTGCATGCATGTACATGCCTGTTGCCCAAGGAGGTCAGAAGATGTCAGATGACCTGGAACCAGAGTTACAGATGGTTGTGAGCCAACATGTGGGCAATAGGAACAAAACATAGGTTCTCTGCAAGATCAGCCAGTGCTCTTAACCACCGAGCCATCTCTCCAACTACTTATTGCTAAGTAAGTCTAAATACCAATAATATCTTGGTTACTGACCCATTCTTGAATACAATATACAAGTGTATTAAATAATGACATATACTATGATACTTTACATCACAATTTTTTTTCTTTGCAAGCTGTGATTTACCTTTTTTTTTAACCTTCCTACATCCTAGAAGAAATTTTAACTATAGGTTAAAAACATAGATCAAACCCCAATACTACATTACTATGGCTTTTCCTGCTTTACTATGATCTTTAAAGTAAGTATGGTAAGGGCTTGAAGGCTGTTACTCAATATGCTTTCTATCCTATGAAGCTGTTGCTTTCATTATCCTACAGAAGACTAAGAGAAATTGATTGCTTAAGAAATAGAGTCAGAATGTTTTGTCTGGAAAGGGAACATATTAAATAATGTAGTAAATATATTTGGTGTTGTAGGGTCATAGTCAACAGCAACTACTCAACTCTTCCCTTTTGAAGGGAAAGTAGCAATTCTATTTGTTCAAAAGAGAAGAGTCATGTTGACACTCTGATAAGCTTCCCTTACGAAAGCAGGGAGCAGGTCAAACTTGGTCTGCCGGCTGAAGTTTGATGAATGAGCACTGTTCTAACACATGAAGGATAGATTTGATAACTTTAGATAGCAATTGAAATGAAACAAACAGTTTCACATCCATATTATAACTCACTTCCAGCAATCACTCTTCTACCATATTTTCAGGCAATATCTCTTACTTCAACTCAGAGCTCACCAAACCTACCAGTCGACTAAGCCGGCTTGTCCAAAATGTGTTCTTTCTCAACCTTCCATGTGCAGGGATTGAAGACATGTACATTGATCCCAAGAATTTCATGGGTTCTGGAAATCAGAACTCCTCACATACATGCATCACATGCTTTATCTCCTCGTTCTCATGGAAGCCTCCCCTGAGCGCTCGGCTACTCAAGCTCACTGTGTTTCAGTGTGTTTATTTGCCCTATGCTAACAAAGAGTTCTGAGTCCATCTGTCAGAGCACTGGTCTTGGTATGAAATTTCATACTGGATAAGGAAGTACTTTGATTCATGTCTCTTTTAAGCATCTACACTGCACAAATCAGGAACCCCATCTGAAGTTTGCTGTCCCTGTACCCCACTGTCACAGTGAGTGACATCATTCATGAATGAGTACCCTAATGAATTAATGTACATTATGATTACAAATTATCAAATTTTGTGGTATATGTCTATAATTAAAAGTTAATTTCCTTTCTAACACTGTAATTTTATATCAATGGCTTCCACTTGTGTAAGTCTGTATTATCCTAAAAGGGTTACACCAATTAGCCACCATTACATATATTTTTGGTTACTTTATGCTGTATTAATAATAAATTTTTTATGTATTCACTTTTTCTTTTCTTCCCATAATTATTACACTATGAACCTTGTGGAGTCAAACATTATTGGCTCCTAATTAGTGGTTCTTTTATATAATAACTTTATGAGCAAAGATCATGCTCAAGCTCTTTAATATAACTAGGTCTCAGTTTTTAATCTGCATAGTGAGGACAATATATCTCAATAAGATGCTGCAATAATTGTTACTCCTACATACGATAACATGACAAGCCTATTATTGGGATCAACACAGCTGAACACTTCTATGTATCATGAATAATCAATCATATCAATCAATAATCAACAACTCCTGCTCAAAACTAGTTGTTCTATATTTTGCAAAGCATTACGATTCTACTCCTTACCCTTGAGCAAAATGTACAGGGATAGGGACAGATTTAGAATACAATATAATTCCTTTTAGGATGCTAACAGTATAGACTGATACATAGTAGGAACTAAGGAGGCAAATGAGAAGTAGGTAATGAGGGTTACTGCCTAGGAAAAGTGGGACTTGGATGAGCCAAATCTTAGCTATGTAGCAGATTGGAAGAGAGGTGTAAGGGGTAGGCATGATAAGCAGTGCAACAAGGCTATGCTTACTACACATGGAATTTTGTTGAGTCTCTCAAAAAACTCATGGTAGCAAATTAAACAGTTATTTTTAATCCATTCTGCCCATATACAAGACCTTATTCCAGATACTTGAAAAGATAGGCAGTGAACAAAATGAACAGAAATATTTCTCCACAGAGGCTTATTTGGAAGACATGGGTGATAAAACAAAAACATCAGATGTGGTATCTAGGAGTTGCAATGTGTTAGGGAGAAACACAGAACAGAGACTAAGGAGAGATGTTCTGAGCATGACTTGGGGAAGGTTTCACTATTGGGGAAATAGTGAGATATGAGTAACATATGCAGGGTCACACACATGCAAAAGCAAGTCTCAGATATCCATCCTCTTTTTCTCACTTTCAACTGAAATACACAAAAGAAAGGGAATTACCACAGAACAAGTGTGTAGGAAGGGCAGGCTTATTTTTGATGAGGGAAGGAGGCTGAGTGAGATTCCAAGAGTGGGAGAGTGAAAAGCATACCTTTCCCTATAAGTAAGCAGTCAGGTCATTGGTGGACCCGGGAAGTGCAGTAGAATGTCTAAAGTTGATGCACCAGTGAAGGGTTTGCTTTGTCTTGTTACTGACAATGAAATATTTCAATACAGACAAAAGCAGCAAGATGGTGGTGGGAGGGATCTCTGAAGTAAAGGAACTGTAGCTGTGAGATAGGAAGCACGCAGTTCTGGTTAAAGGGGGAAATTGGGTAGTGGAAATGAACCTGGAGTAGATGAATCACTGGTTGTGGGGGATGAACCAAGAGAATGAGTCAGAGGTAAATGCTAGGTATAGGTAATGGGTGCTGAGAGGAGGTGTCTTTGAACCACGACAGCGGCATGGAGTAGACTGATGTTAATTTTATTTTGGAATCATTTTAGAATCCTGAAAATACTGCGTGATAATTGCAGGACATTTGCAGAGCTGGAGTGGCTGCCCAAAACAAATGCTCTACTGAGTTATCCAAATGAGAAGTCCGGGAGTCATCACAAGTTGTTTCCTGTACCTCAGCCACATCATCTTGTGTTCCCTCAGGCTCTTTCTTCCCTCTCCCTTCCAAAGACTCTCCCTTCTCTCTTGGTCTCTACGGTCCAGTTTGCACTGTCTTATTTCCCTGGTTCTTCATAACGTGTCTCCTCTATCTTCACCTGCAGTTTTATTCTAGAGCATATTTTTAAAGCAAAAATCTCATACGGTAAAAGGTAATGAGTGGAAACAAACTACCACTTGTGGACTTGTGCTTCACTCATTCTTGGGGCCATTCACGAAGCATGTCCTACGTTGTTCAGCCTTCTGTAATTTCAAAAATGAGCTTTTAGGGAGGCTCTGATTATCTCATTTAAAGAGGGATAGAGGAGCACAGAAAGCTCAATAAAGTACTCAGTGGGAAAAATTGAGGACATGAAGAAACTTGGACTCAAACAAGCTTATTCGATTTCTACTCATTTGAAGGCAGGGGCTACTAACTCACCTACATTTTAAACAAAGATCCACATTATTCTCCTGGCACACAAATCCTTTCCATCCTCCCATTCATGATGGGAATCTAGTACCATTCCAGGATGCTATGCTTTCTCATGCGTAAAGTGTGTCCTGGACCGGCAGTATAGGAAGGACTCCATGCTTGCTGTCCTTGGGCAGCCTTTCATAGTGTCTCTATGTCTCATGCTTTGTTCTCTTTCCATACACAGAATCAACCTATCCTCTCTATAATCTTCCTAAGTTGATAGACCACGTCTTCTTGACTGGTATGTTACCCCAGTGAAGTTAATATTTCCAGTACCTATTGGTAAATTGTATTTAATTCTCTGTAAAGCTCCATGTCTGTTTTCCTAGTAGATTGTAATATATTTAAGCATCTTAGCTATCTCTTTTTTTCAGGTATTTATTCACATCGCCAAGCACAGCACTTGTATTAGCATAGGGACTTGGCAGAATTTTATTTTATGAAGGAAGAGAGAGAAGGAGAGGTTAAGGGAATAGACTAATCCCCCAAACAAAACTCTCAACTCCACTGGAGACAGGCCATGCTTACAAGAGCTTCCTTGACTCACCAGTTGGTACCTTTAGGCACTTCTGTAACAGGAATGTTAAATTGGTCTTTTTATAAAAAACCCGGAACCAGATATTGGGGTGAAAGCTGAAAGATCAGAGAAGCAGAACAAGCCACAGCCACCATCTCTTAACCCACCAACTCCTCAGCCTGCAAAAACCTCAGCAGATAGGCCTCTAGTCCAATGAGCTTCCTCAGCCAAAAGGGCTTTGAGTTCCTGTCTCCTCACACCTTATAAACCCCACCCAGCCATTACTTCCTGTCTCATCCTCTCTAGTGCTGGGATTAAAGGTGTGTGCCACCACTGCATGGCATCTATGTTTTATCTAGTGGCTTGTTCTGTCTTCTGATCTTCAGGCAAAGTTTGTTAGGGTACATAATATATCACCACTTTTTCCTTTTTTGGTCTAAAATAATAAATAAAAATAATAAAGAATGTGGTGATAATTGTGTACCCTAATAAAATATGCCTGAAGATCAGAGAACAAAATAAGCCACTAGATTAAACATAGATGCCAGGCAGTGGTGGCATATGCCTTTAATCCTAGCACTTGAGAGAGGTAGAAATCTGTCTGGATCTCTGTAAGGTCAAAGTCTCCCTGGACTACATTGACTCAGTCTAGGAGAGAAACAGAGCCAGGCAGTGGTGGCACATACCTTTAATCCCAGTACTTGATATCTCATGCTTTTGCTTGGGAAACACAGACACCTTTAATCCCAGCACTAGAGAGGATGAGACAGGAAATAATGACTGGGTGGAGAAAGGTTTATAAGGTGTGAGGAGACAGGAACTAGAAGCCTTTTTGGCAGAGGAAGTTCATTGGGCTGAAGCTCTTTCAGGCTGAGGAGTTGGTGAGGTAAGAGGTGGTAGCTGTGGCTTGCTCCACTTCTTTGATCTTTCAGCTTTCACCACAATATCAGGCTCTGGGTTTTTATTATAAAACCTTTTAGAATTTGAGTTCCACACTCACACTCATAAATGATCATTAATGAGAACATAATTCATATTTAGTTACATGGTTGAAGCACTGTTTTGGTATAACCTTCTCATGAAGTCATTTTTCTCATGTGTCATATTTAAAGGAAAATTTTGGAATGTGTGTAATATACATTCTTGGATTGAATATGCACAAAAAGGGGGCTTGAGCTCAGGGGAGAGCCACAGGCTAGCTCTTCATTTCTCAAGTTCTCAGATAGGGACTGGTCTGAGAAGACACTAAGGTTCTGGTTTTAAAGGATCCGGCCAAGGCAATAAGATGCTCTCTGGAAGTGCAGGAAGATTGCAATGGCCACAAGAAGAACAGCAGGAGGCTGATGAGGTACCAGGAAAAATAATCTACGCCTGGGGAGCTAAATGCAGTAACATCATCATTTCCATCACATTTTTGCTTTATTTTAAAAGTTAACCAGTTTCAACTGTGCTGAGTGAAAGCAAGAAAAGTTTCTGATGGATGCTTGGCCCCGAGCTTTATGAGACAGGGGTGTTAAATGGTAACTTTAGCCCAAGTCTGTTGCTGTATTTGGATGATGAAATTTAGCCAAAAGTGCCTGCAAGACTCAACAGTAAACAATCTGTATCTTATCTAGGAGTACACCTGTAACCAAGCAACTGAATCTCAGCTATTCACATGAAGCTCAATCTGTAGCCAAATCAGAGGCCATGAGCTTCCAGAATATTACCATAAAAGGCAAATGCTGACTAGGTTATTCAATGTCTTTTCCTTTTCTCCGACTGCATCTCCAAACTCAATCCGTGACAGGGAGGGACGTTCTGAATTGACTATTCAGCTCATGACAGATTTTGAAAAAACTTTCCCTCCAGAGTCTTTCAATGACCTTGAGACTAACAGTCAATGGTGTTATAAGAAAAAAAAATGAAATTCAGGATATGGAGTAGACATGAGGTCATGTCCATTAATTTCTTACAGGAGGTTTTAGAAGAAACATTTCCTTTCAAGTTCCAGGCACATAAATTGTACTCAAACATACAAATGAAAAGTTCATGCATGATTTTTGCCTACTGACTATTAACTAGAAAAAGAAGGCAGAGGAAGGGAGAAGCAAGTATAGTGAAAACAGCTCCAACGGAATCAAAGTGGAAGTAAAGTGTTTCTTAAGCTATAGTGTGTCCCCCTAAAAGCTTTTTGATTTAGAAGCTATGCACTTGGTCATCTAGGTAAGATGGTGTATAAAGCCCCACAAGAAATGTTCTGACGATTTTCAACTCAGGCTGAAATCTTCTAATGAACAAAGTTATAGATACATTGCAAGTCTATTTTTAGCAGGCATACAGGTGGCACTCCATTAAAAGACTGTGCACTTCCTTCACTGTGTGGAAGACATGACTAGGGACGATAGAGTCCCCATCACAGTCTCTGACTGTTTCAGTCCCCGAGGTGAAGTGATTTGTCTTACAATTCTAGGTTGTGGGAACATGTGTGGCACAGATCTTATGGAGTGCTCAGATTGAAGGCATGAGGCTCTTGGGTCCTTGAGGATGTTTTAATATACTAGAGGCAAACCATCCTGAATAATTCTGTAAATATACAAACAACCCAGTCTACATTACTAATTGAGGAGGGACAGATGAGATGGACTAGTGGATAAAGGTACTTGACCTGAGTTTAACCCTCAGCCCTCACATTGGTGGAAGGAGAGAACCTGTTCTCGCAAGATGTCCTTTGGATCTACACATGAACGCCATGGCACATGTGTCTCCTCTGGGTCCCCATAAGTAAATAAGTGTAAAATACTATTTGAGGATGACTGGTTTTTTAGCCCTGATTATTTCATATAAAAGTATTTTAAGTGTATAATTTATTTATTATTCCTCTCCAAACCTAATCTTAAGAATAAATGCAAGAAAGAAAAATGCATAATCAAAACCATACATATTATCACATAATATATCATAATGATTCATCCTTGCAGTTTCTTAGAAACGATGTTCAAGTTTATTAAAAAACAAACATACTTTTAAAATTGTACTTACCAGAAATACTGCTATGGATATTCCAACTAGAAAGCCTGCTATCACATCAGACCAATGATTTCGATATTCTGCTACTCTGTTGAGTCCAGTAAGAAAGGCCAGACACATTAGTCCCAAGCATAGAACAGGCTTAGCAAGTCTGGTGCCTTTGGCTTTGATAGTGTTGGTAATATACATCTGAAATAGCAAATAAAACAAGACTTTTCACCAAAGTGTCTTCTTGAGATAAACATCAAATACATTATGTATAAGTTACAAAAACATACTTATCAACTATATATGACTGAGTGGTTTTAATCATTAATTACAGTTTATCATTCTAGTCATCTAAAAAAATTGATTATTTGGTATTGAGCTACATAGAATTCCAACTCCCTACATAGCCAGAGCTGACCTTGAATGCTGGGATTGTAGGTGTGTGCCACCATACCTGAAATTAGGCTTTTGATGACTATTTCTTAAATGTAGAATTTAAGAGTGACAACTATTTAACTTATCTGTCATGGTCATTTCTTACTAATGACCATTTAAAAAATGTGTGTGTGTGTGTGTGTGTGTGTGTGTGTGTGTGTGTGTGTCCCCACATTTCCACGTGATTGCAGATAGAGGCCAGACATAACAGATCCCCTGGAACTGTAGTTATAGGCAGTTAGTTGTGAGCTGTGAGATGTGGATGCTGGGAACCAACTCAGGTCCTCTGCAAGGGCAGTGCATTGATTGCTAAGCCATCTCTTCCATCTTATGAGACCCAAGTCTTATGCAGCGTCGTCATCAGTCATCTAGGATCATGAGCACAGTTATTCCAAGTGCTCTCCTACCCTCCATCCCACAAATATTTTTAATGAACTTTTGTTCACCTGAATTTACATATTAGGTCACTCTCAACATTACTGTTATAAGGGGTAAATTGATGATATATTGGTGTTTCCATTTGTTTGTGCTGCATGGACAGGATGCACACTTGGTCAAATCAGGATTTAAAATAGCTAGAAAAATTAAATGGAGATTTCTACCAAATTGATGGGACTATGAAGAAGGTAGCCCAGACAGTGAAGAGACAAGGCTAGTTTTTATGTTGTTATCTGAAAACATGAGGTTAAACACCAATAAAGAACACACAGTGTTAACCAGTTGTGCTGAAGGAAATATGTCCAGTTTGTAAGCAGCATGCTCAGGAGTAATCTGGTTCTTCTCCCAATCTCACTTATTCTATAGTTTCATTGCTCATAATTTAAATCACATGTCATTCTATTAGCAAACCTGCTGACTTCCAAGTGTATAGTGACAGTACTCAAGTCAACAATACAGAAATTGTGAAAGAGGCAGGTTGGAAAGCACACCTAGGTTGTATGGTGTTAATATCAGTAAATATCTGGTACTCATAACACACTCAGAAAAATACTTATAGATAGATGTAATCTATCATTATATTCTATAATCTTGACTGCTATCTTGAATCAGATAGAAATACATTTGCTTATGAGAGTAGACTGAAAGAGCTGTGTCTAAGCTTTTAGTTTATAATGACCATTTTAGAATACTATAAAATCCAGCAATTATCTTTTTGCTTTTTTGTTGTTGTTGTTTTTGCTTTTTTTTTTTTTCAGGGCAATGTTAGCTGCCAGAAGAAGCTTATGCATGCATAAGCTGTTCAAACAATTCTCATCTTCTCCATGGTCAAGTTCTAGTCCTTTGTAATTTGTCTCAGGGCTCAATATTCTGAATGAAATATAAAAAGAAAGGAGAGGGATTGTCTCAGTTGGCCAATGACATTTGGAGCAAGGCCTGTAGTGTTTCAGCTTGTGCTCAGGGTCCTTGAGATTTCATTTACAGAGAACAAGGGTACAGAGGGAGAGATGAGAAAGAGTAAAGTATGGTGTTGCCCCTGTGAGAAAGACATTAAAGAACTCTGTCCACAGGAGTAACAAAGACATCGGGCTAGGGAGGTTTTGCAGTGATGCTGCCAATAGGGAAATCTCTCTTCTGAAGGGTATGTGGAATTTGGACCGCTCACGGAATTTTCTTTAACAATTCTCCACTTCTTCATTTCTTCACATCTGGAAAACTCAAAAGATAACCTACCCTTATTAGAATAAATGTGAGTTAACTGAATGATATGAATCATGCTAATATTTATTAGATCTGTCATTGTATAGTAAGTGGTTCCTATCCAAGGCAATTTTTTTAAGAATTTATCTTATTAACTCTTTAAAATAATCCTACAAATTTGATATCATTATTACCTTCATTTTATAAATAAAAAAAGATAAAGCTTATTGTAGGCTACACAATTTTATTTTGGGGGTGGCACTATTGGCAAAGAAGAAATGGGACTATAAGTATAAGCAAAGAGCTTTGGCACTTCCTGGTCATAAGGGCTTCGGCGGCTCTTGCATTTCTTTTTTCTTCACTGAGTTCTTTTGGGGAGAAAATGGTCAAAATACCTAAACAGATGCAAGACAGCTAGAAGTAAACACAGGAGAAAGATGCCACCATAGCATTCTAAGAGTAACAAAATAGCCTGCTCCATCATTAGGGATGGAGAATACGAAGAAGGGCAAAATCCCTACAGAATCTCTATGGCTTTGGTAAATCCTTATCATCATTCCCCAGGCGCCATCTCAGATACCATTTAACTCTTTACTTGATCAATTCTGGTGGTCCAGACAAATTATTGGCTTGGGCTATACCCGCTTCAAGTTCAATGATGACTCATTTCCTGAATTATCCTGCTGACTCAGTAACACACATAGAGAGCCCCAAACAGTCTGGCCAGTATGCAAATTAATGAAAATATGCCTCTATTAAACCCAGAATGAAGCATGAGAGGTCACAGGATTTAGAGCTGTGAGAATTACAAAAGTTATAAGAATTTTACAAACCATAAATATAATGTTGATCATAGCAATGCTTTATAAAGTATATGTATTGTTGCAGTGTAATTGCCATGAATATAACAAAAGACAAATTACAGAATTTTTCATCTGAACTATGCAACACTCTAGTTCCTCATGACAAGAGCCTTTCAAACAGTCTACTTGTGCTATCCTTGTGGAAAGTCCATCAAAGCTAATCTGCAAAAGGGAAAATCATAGCATAATGATCTACTGAGGATGCTAGATATAGGACAGGAATTGATTATTTATGCTTTCTTGGTTTCTAATTCACTTATGAAACTATCTAGGTTAACCAGATGTTAAAAGGTAGCTAAAATAAACACAAACAGAAGGTGGGTGTGATTTGAGCAGGATGGTGTTCCCTCCATTCTCAAGGGTCTATGGATGTTAACTAGCTTAGAGCCAACTCATTTAACTGTATTGTCCATCCTTATTCACCCATTTAATGCAAGAAGATGCAGAAGGCCAAAGCTTATCATTTGATTCCTGTTAAAATCCTACTATACATTCTTTCAGATTTCTCTTTGCATATTTAAATATATACAATAAGTAATGCATATACACAGAGGCTTTGCTGACTAGTCACTTTTATAGCTACAATGGGCTATTATTGCGTGATATTGGTTGTTTCCCCCACTACAGGGGAGAAATAGTAATGAAGCCTGGTCCTTCACTGTAAACTCTGCACTTGGCACTTGGCCTGACCTACAGGGAGCTCTTAATAAAACTAAACTTAATAAAGAGAATACTGAGTGAAAGTTAGCTACAAGGGAGAGCACAGAGTATTTGTAACATTTGTCACTTTGTAGAATAATGTATATATTGCCATGCTTCTCTCCATTATAATGTTCTATTAGAATGGAACCTCTGTCCATTCACTGCTATATCTGAAATGCATAGAAGGCTTTTTATGTAGCAGGCATTCAAAGCTTACTGCATGAAGGAAGCATAAAAGGCGTAGTTGGGGAAAGGTGTACTTTTCAATTCCCATTACCTGAAAGCACACCACCACTTGAAATTATCTTGAATATATATTTGTTTACTAACTTGTTGTCTTCCTTCTTTTATTGTCTTGTATTTCCAGGAGCAAGGTCTGCAATGGGGTGGTCACTTATGACAAGAAGAATATGATCCCCCAAATGACATCTATGAATCTTCAGTTCCTTGTTATTTCTTGTGGATGTGGTTCCAAATCACCAGAGTCTTTGAAAACAGATAATGTTCCCTCATTGTAGCCAGAGAAAAAGACTTGATGAAGCCATGGATGGAAGGAACACAGATATACTCTGATAAAGCTAGGAAAAGTGAGGGATTGATTTGCCACAAGAATGTCCTCAAGGTTGGCCACCAGATGACAAGTTCCCTTTAGCCCATTGAGACCCATATTTTACTTCTGACCTATAAAATTCTAAGATCATACACTTGCATTGTTCTGAGTCACTGTGTTTGTGGCATTTCCTATGTTCAATAGAAAACAACCATACTCAGGGAGTATCTGTTTAAAGTATGAATTAATTAATGCTAAGAATTGTAACAATGCTCCATGGGGTGAAGTAAGTATGCCATAGTGATTAAACCATCCACATTTGAATCAGAAAAACATGTGTTGGAGGCCCAACTCTGACACTTGCATAAGGCAAGTCATGGTAATTTGAAAAAGAATGGTCCCCATAGGCTCTTGTATCTGAATGCTTGGCATCCAGCTAGTGGAACTGTTGGGGAAACATTAGGAGGTGTGGTCTTGTTGGAGGGAGTGTGTCATTAGGGTCAGTGGTCGAAGTTTCAAAAGCCCATGCCATTCCCAGTAAGATGTAAGCTCTCAGCTACTGCTCCAGCATCATGTCTGCCTGTCTGCTGCCATGCCCCCAGCCATGATGGTCATGAACTCTAAACTGATGAAATTGTAAGTCGCAAATACTCTTTCTTCTATAAGTTGCCTTGGTTGTGGTGTCTTATCATAGAGATAGAAAAGTAATAGGACACAAGTCTAAGCATGTCTATTTACCAAACACAAATGAAAATTAAGATATTGTCCCACAGCATGATAAGGCTCAAATACGATAGTATAGCTAAAGTGCATAGCACAGCATTTGGTCTGTAGTAGAGCCTAAATAACTGTAGGGGTTAAGTTGGAGCAAGAACAGGGAGCATCATGGAATCAGGACCATGATTCTAGAACAGTGCCTGCTGAATGGTGATCACTAGACTTTAAGATAGCATTATGACCAAGTATTCAGGGAACTCCTCCTGTCTTCAGGATTCTGTCACGTTTTTATCATA